TAAGTCAATATGGTGATTATAACGACTCTAAATATTTTTAAAATACTAAAGGGCAAGCCAGCCGCCTTTCAATCAATATCTATCTCTGTACTCTACAGAAGATTTCTCAACTGTCGGTTCTTAAATGGATGGCGTGGACCTTTTAACATTGGCGCAGTCCTCTTTGACAACAACAAAGTTTCTAAATGTCACTTTGCCACCTGGATTGTTTTTGCGCTGAGTTGACAGTTTCTTAATTCCCCGAGCCATCTTTTATAGACAACTTTAATGGCATATAACCAAAAAATCATTAAAATGTAAAACGTTTTTTTTTCCATTTTGTCTTCGGTGTTTGCCCTTGTCCAAGGACGCTTTAAAAGTGCAGGTTGCAGTTCAGGCAAAATACAAACCAGGGCACAATCCCCGTGGCCTCTCGCCTCTACGACCTCTGCTCGTCACGGAGCCACTGCCACACCATGAGTAGCCGTGAATTTCAACGACGTGTTAATTCAGCTGACACCTTCCCAATCACTGCACCAGATGCATTTCCCACAGTACGGTGCAGGCGCGAAGCCGGTTTTCTCAATCTACTGCTCGATTAAGGCCCTCCCCATGCCGTGCGACAACATTTGACCATACGTAACCACGCTGGTCAGTGCGGTTTGGCGAAGGCGGGGGAGCGTGTACATTTGTGTGAGCATAGAAGTACTGTGCAACAATGGATTATTATTCTTAGTTTTTTTCGGTAAAGTCACGTAGGTAAAACATTAAAATTTATAAAAGTAAAATAAAATAAAAATCACGACGTTTCGGAGGCAACACAAGCTTCCGTCTTCAGGTGGATTATTCTATACCGTCCTCCACCGCCTACAATGTAACCTCACGCAGCCTACAATGTCTGTTATGCAAGGTGGTTGGTCACCCAAGCATCGTAAGCATCTGATATTATGAACGGAGCAAAAGGTAGAAAGCTCCACAGCAGCCCGCAAATCTTTTGGCACGCATATTCCTCGGCTCTGTCTCAAAGGTGCACTTGATCTGTGGCTTGGGGAATGGCAGGGTTTTTTGATACCAATATCTGGCAAGAAAAACATCCAAATGGTCGCATTTTTTGTTGTTTACGAATTTGACATTTTTTGTATATTGTAAGTATGTTGAACTTCTTTCGCGCCTTACGCAGCCAACCTTGCTCATCATTTTGGCCACGACAATGCCCTGTTTGCCAAACCTTCAATCAGGTCTGTAGTGAGTGTTGTAACGTCTATATTTTACAGTCTCCCACGCTATTTTAGGCCTCTTCAAATTTAGAAATCTGAGAGATAGGGAACAAAAAATAAGTTTTATGAAAAAAGTTTTCAGTGTCCATCTCAGTTGAGAAACTATTCCGACTTACTAATTTTTAAAAATTTCTTTCTGTGGATTTCGCACCTGATGATGATTGCTTGTGTTGCAGTCGAAAACGTCGTGAGAATTTTTATTGATTTATATTTATATTATTGTATTGTTTCCCTTCTACGTGACTTTACCGAAAGAACCAAGAATATGAATCCCTGCAGTCACGAAAGCTTTAAATCAAAACTTACTTTTCAGTTGAAAAACTATTCCCACTCAGTACAAGGGGGGTTCACCACCACCACCATATCATTGCATCGTCAGACTGCTGAGCCCAAATCACTCACCTTTGCTTCAGCCGGGTTAGTGTTAGTAGGTCTGATGCTCACCAAGGCTCTGTAACTGCTCTTTGGTGTTTAGTGGGCTATCCGTCACGTGACTATGAGAATCACTGGCGTTAAAGTAAAATTAATTATGCGCGCCCTGCGATGAAGACCCTCAATGAAAAGCTCGTAGCCACGGCGACGCGTGCCACTTTGATGGCCGTAGGTGTGTGTGCGCGTGTGAAGAACACACGGAGGGGGGGGGGGGGGTGTGCTGACACTGCACTACAATCTAAAAGTACAATTTCTACCCGTGAACGGAGCTTGGGCTTCTCCTAGGTCCACTCAGCCTAAAATGAGCAAACGGTTCAGTGCCTCCAATATCAGCACCACTGGGGAGACAAAGGCGGCTGGGCATGCACGGTGCAGGTCACACAATCCCTCTCGTGGCGTGATGACCTTGAGAGTTTGTTCCAAGGTCAAGCAGAAGAGGCGATCACAGGTGATGAAGCAATGACACCTCGCTCGCCATTGCTTCCTTCTGCTAACCCTCGCGGCGCTTGACCTTCGACGTCCGCTCTAAAAGGGTCTCCTACCATCTGGCATTAGCTACAGAAGAGGATGGAAAAAATGACACTCAAGCAAGGGCAGTGGCACGATGGGTAGTCGTCGCGCTACCAAAATGCAAAGGTGAGTCTCCTTGAGACCGAACGCCAGCACGGACTCTGGCAGAGGAGGAAACAACTTCCCAGTAGTTGCGCTTGCCACCAATCGCAACCATCTGTCATCAACGCTACAACATTTGACCCAACAGTCCTATCGGTTAAACACGGAGAACGGTCATCCTCGTGCGCACGCGATGTCTGCGTAAAGGATTGTTTTGTTTGGGTGTTTAACTTCAACGCATCTGTACGTCGACGTACAGCGTTGGCTTTTTTTTTTTGCCGACGGAATCTGAGAGCAATGGCGCTTGTCGCTATTTGGCCACAATGGGTGGAGAATCGAGGAGGAGGATGACGAGATTCTTCACGTTTTCCCGATTGTCTCGTCAGACATTTTAATTGCTTCATTAAAACACTCAGGAAAACAACAATAGCAACAATACATTAACATGGAGTTTACTACATCCGTTAGATTGACACGTGAGAGTGTACGTTGAAAACAGACTGAAAAGGGATTCTTCTTTTGTTAAAACACTGAGCAGGACAACAACATTGTAAGTATAGTACTCCAAGTCTGCAGTGGTTTGCGAATATAAACATTATACATAACATAATTAAAAGGCTATTAATACGACTGGAACCTAAAATACACCAATCTGTAAATATCTGGTCATAAACTTAAATATTTTATCATAATAAGATAGCTTGTTACAAGGCCATAGCCATGGAGTCAACATTGGGGGGGACCAAATCTTCCAGGGGGTCTGGGCGTCCCACCCCCAGAAAAAAATAATCAAAATTTGAAAAAAATGTCCTGCCATTTCCTGCCTAAATTAAAAAAAATTAACTAACACATACGATGGACTTTTAATAATTTTTTTACAACAATGTCTAATAGTGTATTGTATTACGTTGCTCTGTTTTTTTTATTTTTTTACCTTTTCTTGTTTCATTGTATGTAATGGCAGAGATTAGGGATAAATAAAGTACAACCATAACCACAATCATATGAACAGAAATCTATTTTATAGCAATATATTGGTGGGGACATTTTGAGCATATTTGAATATGGGGGGGATGTGTCCCCCCCCAATATATATTATAATTACGGCCTCGGCTTGTTATGATTATTACGTGTGGTGGCAGAGTGGCTGCTTCACTTAAAAAAAAAGACCTGGGTTCAATTCCTGACGTGGGCGCCGTTCTGCGTGGAGATTTTACGTCCTCCCCCTGTTCGGAATGGGTTCTCTGGCTTCCTCCCATAGGAAAACAACAATAGCAACAACAACAATAGAAAACTGCGCTCGTCTTTGGACTAAGTGTGGCTGTCCTGGATAAATAAGTACACATTATGCTTATTACTTCTTCAGTATTGTGAAAATATTAAGGGCAGTTATAATAATATCAGGAAGTGCAGAATGTCCTTCTACTTCTAGTAAAGGTAAATCACTCCATGACGTAATTTAGACTTGTCATGCGCACAGCATTCACTCGCTCTCGCAGCGAGAGAGCGACTCGGAGACACGAGGAGGAACCGCAGATGAGCGGCAAGGCAGCAGCCACGCGGTGAACCAGCACCGACAGTTTCCCAAGCTCTGCGGTCCTCTACGTATTCAGGTGTCATCGGCCAATTAAACAGCATTTTAGATGTGGGGGGAAACCGGAGCAACCCAGAGAAAACCCACGCGTGCAAGGGGGAAACACTCTATCCCCATACAGACGGAATGGGTGGAGCCCACATTGTGCTGCACATAGCCAGGGAATTGCTGCTAATCAACGCTCAAGGGGAGGGAGTTTCAACGAAATCTGCGTGCGATCCAGCAACTCCCGCCTCCACGGTGCTGATTTACAGGCCACGTCCATCACCACCACTGCCCGACTGGTGCTATTGGCAAAAAAAAATAACCTGAAACATCACTAAATTACAATCTCTTGCTCAATTGTTTCTAGTTTGACGTTTGCTTGAGAGCAGATGGTAATGTGCCAAGGTTGTACAGGCTTTTCCTATGGGCCTAATTGCTGCAAGGCGCTATGGGGCAATGAACACGACAGGCTGAATGAATGGATCTGTGTCGTACGTTAGGCTTGCTGTGCACGCGTGCTATGTTAGTGAGTACACGTGCGCGTGCACACGTGCCGTGTGAGTGAACGTGCGTGCGTGTGTGCATTAAGGGTTACTACCTCCGAGGTTGTGGGGAGCGGTGGCGTAGTGGTTAGCGCGCTGCGCTACGGACCCGGCTTGCCTGAGTTTGATTCCCGCTCACGGCCAACACCAGTGATGATTATCTGAATCGGTTCTGGGCTTCCCGTAGGTTTACTTAGCCTCAAATGAGTACCTGGTGTGATGTGTAAACATCACTGCTCAGGAGACAAATGTGGCCAGGCGTGGTGCTGGCCACCCACCCCCTAGTGTGCTGTGCCGGCCTTCATAGGCGCTCGCGAACGGCACTTGCCCCAACAGCTTGTGTAAGGCTATAAGGGGGGGATCTTTGTCTTTTGCCTTTGTAAACGTGCGTACAAGCAATGTTAGTGTGCACGTGCACGTCTCCTTGCCTGCATGCATGCACACTCCTGTCTGTGTGCGCCCGTATCAGTGCAGGTTCATGATGTCAATGAGAATGAGTTACATGTGTGCACGTGCGCGCGTGCATGCTGGCTGTATTCGCGAGCGAGCGTGCGTGCGGTTAGCGGTCCCCGCCAGTACCTGGACGAGGGAGCATGCTGCCGTTGGTGAGGCACTGGCTGTGAAATGCCGGGCTGGACTGAGAGCTCGCCCTCAGCGAGCCGCAGGCATGCACTGGGCAGAGCAATAGAGACCACCGTCAAGACACGAGGCACGCGCCGCAGTACACAGCTGGTTAGTGACTCCCCCCCACCCCCAGCGGTGACCTGGCAGCCCCCCACTAGCGATCGCACGCGGCGGGGGGGAGGGGGGGTGTCCCTACTCCATCACCGTCGCTCGCCCCATGAGCTCACAAAACCGCAAGGCTGCGATGGCTCGATGATGCCGTGCTCCGGTAGCTGAGGGGGGGGACTGCATTACTCACTGGTTCACTCAAGTTTCTCGCTTGTCGGTGGTCAGTGACCTCCCTTCCGCTCTTTAGTTCACGACTACCACGGTTACGCTCCTCGTGGAACGTCACTCGCCTGATTCACTTCCAATCGCTCGCTCGCCGGCGGTCAGTCGGCTCCATATCACTCTTCTGCTGCTACTACTACCATGGTTACTTCCTTGCCCCGTGACCTTCGCTCATGAATTCCTCCACCCGTGATGACGACCCGGTGTCTACCACATTGACCGTTTTTGTCTCCTCCACGCTGTGTTCAACACCACCAACACCACCACACTCCAGATCAAGACAACCCACTCATTCACCTACTCACTCACCCACTCACCACACTGCAGGTCGACAACACTTCTTCGACCAATATCATCCAACACACCGGTGTGCTGTACTAGTGACGAATTGGCCACGTTCTGTTTACGTGACAAACCTTACTAGTTGGCTGTGTCGGGTGGTGACGGGTTTAACGACACATTTATATATTTACGCGATCTAACCCAAAAAAAACCTCTATTATGCACAACACTTCTCTTAATGCTTCTTTCTTCACCCTGTGCCACTATGGAATTACCTCCCATTATCTGTGTTTTTTTCTCTTTCCAAAGTTCTTATAATGAACCTTGCCCTTAACCTATTACAACTTGAATAGGGCTGTTTGTCACTGGCCCTACGGCGTTTTGGGCATATGCTTAGCAACCGTGATACAAAACAAAAAAAATAGATCCACATATATATTTGTTGACGGACAAACGGACCGTACGTATGAATGTTGAACTTTTTTCGCACCGTACATAGCCAATCGTGCTCATGGGAGGAGCAGGGGAAGGACACTAAACTAAACACACAAAGCAGTTCTAAAGAAATGAGTTTTCAATCGAGATTTAAAAAGTGCTCAGCTCCAGTGGCTTCCTAATTTCGGAAGGAAGAGCATTCCAGACGGCCACAGACGCGCATCTGTGTGACGCGATGACCATCTTTGCTCGACGGCCAGCCGAAAGCCGCTTCTGTGAGGATGACCGCAGTTCGCGCGATGGTTGATGCTCCTAGACGAGTTCAGCAAGGCTATTGCGGTTCATTCGTGGTGAGCGCTTTGCGTACAATAAGTGTGACCTTATAACGCATTCGTTCAGCAACCAGAGGCCCACGCAGCACTGTACGGACACCGTCGGATCGTGTGACGTTGCCATTGAGCGCACGTGCGCACACAGGCTCCTGACCATTCACCCCACATGTCTACCGTTAAACAATCAATGGTTAGCCTCTTGCAAAAGCAATTACAGCGTACACGTAAACCCACTTACAAGTCATCTTAATAAATGCCTCCCTTGTCACCTACCCCATTCTAATCTACTTGTGACGCATCTGCATTGGGCGTAAACCAGTGGTGAGCGGTAACCTAGCAGCGGAACCTCCAGACGTTGGGGCACCTAGCTTGGCACCTAGCTTTGGAGATAATGCCACACGAAGGCATGACAAAATCGCTCGTAGAGCCATTATAATTTATACCATATACATGCCGTTGCTTCCTTCCTTTTGCCAGATACCCACACTTCTTTGCACCAGTGGCCCCTGCAGATCAAGCGTATGTAAGTCTCATTGCCACTGCCTGGCTCTAGGCCTCCGCTCTGCTCACTATCTCCAGGTGCCCCATCGAATGTCTATCTCTCTCAGTGCACATCATCCTTCCATCGCAACCTCTTCTTCCTCGTGACATCCGAAACTTTTTCTTGCCAGGTTCTATCCCGAACTTTCCAAGATGCTCGTCCTCTCCCGGCATTCTGATGACATCACCAAAAGTGGGTCAGATTGTCGAGGATTCTAGGATATCTATCGTGGAGGACACTCAGGTAAACGAAGGTGAAGTTGGGCCACGGAAAACGGCAACACGATTTGCAGGCAGAACGCAAGCGTCAAAGCGCCGCACGAATGAAACTATTTTAAAGCATTTTTTAAAAATGTTATCAGGTAAAGTCCCACTGAGTTACGTAGCTCTTTTTCAGAAATGACATGGCAACAAATGACAGCTCAACGAAGTCGCGTATCACGTTGAAATTTATAGCAGCCAAATACTCGAAATGCACTTTGATTCTAAACGTTGAGGGGAAAAACCGGAGGACCCGGAGAAAAATCCACGCGAACATGGGGAGAACATGCAAACTCCAAGTATGCAGGCGTCAGGGTTTGGGATCAAACTCACGACCTCCTCGTTACCAGACGAGGTAGTTAATATCTCGGCCTAGGCCTCGCTGGGTTTACTGTGGCCGCTCCCCAGGTGCAGCTCACGAATTGCAAGGAAAGTCCACCACTCCGGGGTTCGTGCCTAATTCTGGCCTCACCCTGCTTCCTTTTCTCTTTCTGCCGTGTGGAGTAACACAATGGTTGCCACCCGTCCTGGTGTTTCCCTGGATCAAAATTTTAGTGAGGTGACAACCGCCTTGGTAAATCGGTCAAGTCTTCCCGGGATACTGACAGCGCCAGTTGTCAAAACGCACCGCTCGAGACGATGCATTCACGTGTAGTTCTCCCCTATTCTGGTAGCGTAAGATACTCCTTCTCGTTTCCCATGATATGTCCTCGTTTTTGTACAAGCAGAGGTGGCAAGCCTAAGTGAGCAGAATGTGGAGGAAGGTCAGGGTGGGGGGTCACACGCGGTGTTTGAGATGTTTGCGCGGTGAGTGACATGCCACTGCTCAATCCGACCTATTTATTTTGTTCGGTTGTCGACTTATTATTTTCATGTTGCCACTTGAAAAAAGAGACATTTGTCTGTGTGACTGCTGTTTGTTCGTTTGCCTTGGAGAAGCGTCTTGAGGTCCTCGTATGTTTGGCAGTAGACGCAACGCATGGGTCAATGACACCGGTGTGTCATTGACCTCGGTGTGGAACTCTATCCCCTTTGCACATCCACAACATCAAATGCACTCCGACTTTTAAGAAACATCTTCAGGCCTCTGTTTGTTTGGGTCAGGCTTTCAAGCAGCCCTGAGCTTGGCTCCGCGCCTCTGAGTTGTTGACGTGTTGACAAAATCTGGCGCGTTATAAATATCGATAAAGTTCCCTCCGTGAAAAAACAAAACTGCGGCATCGGGATAACTGTTCACAACAACAGCGAGCACACCGCCAAGCATAAAGTGAAATGGTGGCGATATTATCTGGTCGTGCATTGGACCCCAAGCTTCTTTTTAAAATAAAAATATATCAATCCATTCACTGTCATTGCAGTAAGTTGCGGAAGGAGCAATGTATAATGTATGCGATCGTTAATTTGTTGATTGAAGAAGCCTTCAATGAAAAGAATATAGATTCCAGAGTGTTAGATTACACGTTGAAGTAAATACCGAATAATGTCAACTTTAATTAAAAAAAAAATCTATGGAGGATAATACTAGGCATATTATTAAAATAGAATTACACCAATAAACCCAGCAATGTTGGATACTCTTAACACAAAATAATCTGTTGCAAAATTTATATCCACAGCGGTGGCCGGGCAGCTTACGCAGTCAGTGCCTACTGCTGTGAGCGCGTGGCGCTGATATTCAGAGTTTATCCCCGCACTGTCACAGAAGATGAATGCAGCCCCCTAAGGGCTATACACTGGCTTAATAGTCACATCCTATTCTGTATATGGCTATTGACACACAAAGTACCTGTTTGTGAATACATTAGTTAACAGGTAATAATGTGAAGCTCTTCGGCAATCCACTGCTGAATAATAATTAAAACAATTTATATTGCGGCCTTATATCACGAACCGGATTAATTGTTTGATCGAGAACTCGGAGCAACAGAGCCAAAGCACAAAGTCCCTTGTACATGGCCTAAACAGGTGACATCCCAGACAGGTGAGAGTCCGAACAGGTTAGAGAGCCTGAACAGGTGAGAGCTCTGACAAGTGAGAGCCGGACAGGTGAGAGAGCCTGGACAGGTGACAGCCCGGACAGGTGAGAGAGCCCGGACAGGTGACAGCCCGGACAGGTGAGAGCCTGAACAAGTGAGAGCTCTGAAAGGTGAGAGCCGGACAGGTGAGAGAGCTCTGACAGGTGAGAACCTTGAGCTGAAGGTGGATGGTGGTGCTTGGATGCTGCTGCATTCGCAGTGGGAGAGAGAGAGAGAGTTCCAGGCGATTGGCGCAGCCATGGAGAAACGCCGCTCAGCCAGGGCACTGCTGGTTCTGTGCGTGATGGGCCGATTGCTAGGATGTGGCGCTTTGCTGTGGCCAATAGAGTGAAAAGGGTGAGGGAGAGGTACGGTGGGAGACCTTGAGAGAGAGAGAGAGGTCAGTGGCACAGGATAGTTTTTAGTGACGCTATGAATGCCATATGGCTGCGCCTGATGCCACAAGCGAACATCGAGACAGGTTGCTTTGTGTCCGTATGGAGTGGGTCGCCACTCTGAATCCAAGTCCGAGTTCGGAAATGCAGCTGCTGGCTTCAGCGGACAAGCGTACACCACTCGTGGCTTCAGAGTGCGTCGCGCGAATCGCTCGACCGCCGCTCCACCCTGATGTTAATAAAATGTAATCGCATGTGCATATAACCGTGAAAGCAAGGATCAATTCTCATTAACGAATCGATGCATCGTCACTTGCCCAGAACCCAGCGCCAATCAAACACGACCGCGCGTGGCTGTCGCATTCCGACCGTCGCGCGAACCGTCTGCGAGCGCCATCCGAGCCTCCCAAACAAAACGCGATGCCGAGCTCTCGTTTCGCGTGCGGAAGCCACGTGGCCCCACCTACCCCCGTCTCAATGTCATGCGGATGCCTGACGTGACGACAGGGGGATCGCGTGCGCTGAAGGTGAACGATCGGCACGTCGCCGCGACGGTCGCGCGCACCGGGGCAAAGCCGGTCGGAGAGAGAGCCGTGGGAAATGTCACGTCGCGCGATGACGAGCTCCGAGCAGCTCACCCGACGATCCCCCAAACATGAATTTCAATCAGCCGGCTCTTAACGAATTCCTCTGCGGTTCATCTACGTTGTATTGCGAAGAGAGAGAGAGAGAAATAGAGAAAAAAACTTAAGCCGGAAGAATTTGTGTGAATGCGGGTGTTCGGCGACACGAAATGTGTTCAGGGGCCCCGAGCCATTTGTCTCGGGGTCGTTTGCCACCGATTGTCAGATGGGCGCAGCCGCAAGCTCGCTCGATCTCTTCACCTCAAGGTTGCGGCCGTGTGCTAAATGGCTCCGGTGTTTGATTGAGGAGCGATGGAATTAGTTTATGTTATAAATATTTAATAAATTGCCTGAATTGCCTGATGTATAACAAGACCTGGGGCTTTGTGTGAGGAATTCTAAGCACCTTCACTTTGCTTATTGCCAGCGGTAAAGGTGGCGCAGCTTTGAGAGATGTACACCAATCAGGAGAGGTGGAAACGTTGCATCCAATCATCGATTAATATATCACCTTAAGCTCACAATAAATGCATTGAATCATGCGTGCAGGAATCGACGCTGTTCGAAAATGGATATCTTGAAATTGGTTCACGTCACCCCTGCATCCACGAGAGGTGCTTACAACTCACCGCAATGTTTCCACGAATATTTTATTCTCATTCGTTCATGAATTTAAACTTGTAACGAGCACAATTTTGACAATTTAAAGTTTTTTTTTATTTTACCAGGTAAGAACCCACTGAGCTATGTAGCTCTTTTTCAGAAGCCACAAGTGATAGTTCAACGAAGTGGCTTATCATGGGCACATTTATAAGCGGCCAAATATTCGTAATCGCCATATACTCTTAATCGCGTGATTCTAAATGTGGAGGGAAAAACCGGAGGACCCGGAGACAAATCCATGCAACCACGAGGAGAACACGCAGACTACAAATATACACCAGGCGAGGTAGTTAACATCTCGCCACCATGGCGCCCTAATCGGACAGCTGGGGATGGGTGGAGTGGGCAGGGGCAAATTGTTTCAAGGATGATGCCATGGGAATGAAAGAAATAATTCTGATATCATAACAAGCATTGCCCATGTGCTCTCGTGTAGCTACGAGCGGTGGCATCAATGCACCTCTCAAGGTCACGTGTTTCACAGGCGCTGTTTTGCACTTTCTTTACCGTGCGAGCGCCGACATTGTGGGGGTTTGCCCCGTCAAGGGTGGTGACTCAGCGTCAAAAAAATGGCTTACGCTAAGGAAACGACGGCGTTTCCTGACAAGACGTTTGTGTGTTTTTTCAAGAGCTTCATTCCTATTGACGGCCACGATTGCGGTGGGATTTACAGCTCTGAGGTTAGGCACACGGAGTTTCACTAAAATACTGGATTATCATATGCCTTACTTACACAAGTCACCCATCAATTGATACACTTCTCGCGCTTCACAGTGTTTGCCGAGCATCGATCAAATGAGGGGGAACTTCACGGGGCTAACGGGGGCGGCCCGAATGGCACCGACGTGACTTTTTGAGTTTCGCAACGTGAGGAAAGGTAAAAACGTCGCGAGAAACATCTCTCTGCATCGTAACGCAAAACAGAGCGCCGTCTGCACCGTGGCTACGTTGGGCTTTGAGTTGACAAGAACAGCAAGAAGGCTTTCCAGTCGTCATGCCGTGAGTTGAAATCCTTAGCAGGATCGACTCACGACCATCTTGCCATCGTTTTTCTGGGGCGAGTGAAAGAGTTTCTGAGTGAGTGAAGCTGTAACCTCTTGGTTGGACATCAACAGGTGGTAGCCTTTCTTGTTTAAGTCACGTAAGTCGTTTTTGTTCCACAGCGACGTGGATTTTTTGCCAGTGGTTCTGGAGTGCCATTGCGGGGGAGAACAGGACCAGTGCGACAATGTAATGGTGGTTAGGGATGGTAAAACTATGAGACAGGCTTGTTCTGTTTACGTGACAAGCCTTACTAATTGGCTGTGTCGGGTGCTGGCCGGTTTAACGACACATTCATATTTATGCGATCAAACAAAAAAAACCTGTATTGTGGATTTGTCGCAAAAGTGTTATGAGATGTGAATTGGCGAAATGGTGAGCTAATTAGGAGGTACAGCACTTTGTTACATGACAAATTCGTATTTTGGTTTGCTTTCAAGACATTGAAATTATTGGATAATGACATGGTAACTGGGCTCACGAATAGAACACACAGAGCCACACTGTGGCTTGATAATTCATCACCAAAGAGAGAGATGAATACAGAATCTGTGTTGGCAGTTCGCCTGGAGTTATCCAGCAAGTGCAGAAATGGGACCGTATTGCCTGGGGTGGTCCAGGGAGTGTAGAAATGAGACCGCACCATTTCTCTTCGCCTGGGGTGGTCCAGGGAGTGTATAAATGGGACCGTACCATTTACGTTTGCCTGGGGTGGTCCAGAGTGTTGAAGTGAGACCGTACCATGTCTGTTTGCCCTGGGGTGTGCCACGGGAGTGTGGAAATAAGACCGTACCATTTCTCCGGCTGACCAGCTCCACGACGGATGGCGGAAAGAATCCAACGCGGTCCGCACCTCGGCTGTCCTGAATGTATCCCTTCCAGCGACCATCTGGATGTTGCTCCAACACCTACAAAGACAAAGATTCCCCGATAGCCTTTAACAGACTGTTGGGGCAAGTGCTGTTAGCGAGCTTCTATGAAGGTTCACACAGTACACGAGGGGGAAGGTGGCCAGTACCACGCTCGGCCTCCTTGTCTCCCCAGTGGCAATGTTTACACATCGCACCACAGGTACTCATTTGAGGCTGAGTCGACATGGTGGAGGCCCAGGACCGATCCAGATGATAATCATCACTTGCATTGACCGCGAGCGGGAATCGAACTCGGGTCATGGCGCAGCGTGCTAACCGTTGCACTACAGCTGACAACACCTACACAACCATAGACAACTACCAAGACCGACATCGTCATGTCTAAATGCAGAATAACATTTTGCATCGTGTCAAATGTGCATGCGGTGAGACGTAGCCCACACGCTCAGCCATTGGCGTGCCCAATCAGTGTCTTTGTTGCCGAATCGAGGGTGCTGAAACGGGCCACGCGCAATGTGCCGCCGCTCGATGACCTGGAGCTGCATGAACTTTCCAACGGTCCCTACGAGCAGTGCGAGGAGGTGTGTGCGGAGTGCTCGCTCACCGTGATGACCTCGCCGGCCTTCACGCTCAGGCTCGTGGGGTCGTACACGTTGCAGTAATCGCGCAGTGCGCGCACCTGCAGCATGCTCGTCGCCTCTGCAACGCAACGCAGAGCAGAGGGGACGAGCGAGCGCAAGTCAGCGAGACGTTGATGTCGAGGCAGCCCTCCCCCCAGACCGACGCGGTCCCTTTGCCGCCGGTTCAACCGTGGCGCTCTTGGGGCGGTGCCGGGGCCATCGCGAGCCAGGAGGCGGGCCCCATTGTTTTTTCCACGTGCAGGAGCGGCCGAGCTGCGCCGCATTGCGAAACGGCGCGGCGACGGTGTTGCCGACCGATGTGGCGTGCGTCGAACGCGTCAATTCGCCCTGGCCTCGGCCCTGCCCCCCGGTCCCGAGATAAATTCGGGTGCCTTGTGAGGCCGGCGGATTACGTTCTGGTCACGACTCGGCACGGCAAATAGCCAGTGGGAAACCGCCCTTGGTACAGGGGGATAATGGAGAGCAGGCATGGTAAGTGGTCCTTTCAACTTTTGGACAGGAAAGGCAAACCACATGCTGCTCCCTCTGTGCAGCGCACCACACCTAGTATGCCTCTCACAACGGCGATGGTTATAGCCCAACCTGGTAAATCCACACTCGTGTTAAAATATATATTTGTATTATTATTTTACTTTTCTCCCGTCCCTTTAGTCGATAATGGCGCACACTCCACTCACCACGAAGCATCTGCTTGATCTCCAGGCAGGCCTGTGACCCCGTGAACTGGTTCACGATGTCCAACGCTGTTTGGTTGTACGAGTTCCGGATGTGAACGTTCACTCCACTCTACGAGACAATGGACGATGGGCACCACAACAGTAAGGGCTTCATCGCCACCCACGCGCCACAGCCCCGACTGTAAAATCACAATGTAATTATTGGCATTCAATCACCATTTCGAAGATCTATAACGGTACCATTTATATTGAACCTAAAAAACTCAATAAGCATTGCTAAGATAATGTCCCTGTTACTTTGATATTGATCCTGACTGATGGTCATGATGACGATAAAGGTAATTATTATAGTTAGTTATATTTTTTTCATGAAAGCCTCAAGACTCGTTTTTCAGGAGGGTACTGGACTGTGAGTGAACCCATCACAGCTGGTGGCATTTGAACACAATTCACACGTGGTTTCTTCTGAAAACTTTGTACTCGGGCCTGACTAAAGTGCAGGCCAATTGCATCTGCTCGAGTGCAGCAATTGCAGTCACGACCGCGAGCCACTGCCACTGCAAGCCCCTCGGCATGTGTGACTCTCAGGAGTATGTTTAACCTGTCTCGTGGTTTAGCAAAGCCCCGTAAGACCCTGCCTTCACACGAAACGTGCTTGGCCACTTTGGCCGGGTCGCCATTGAGAATGGGCTTCTTGGCTCAAGGGGCCCAACCTGACACCAGCAGGCAAACCGTCTCCTTCACACATGTCTCTCCAAACAGAACATACATTTCTTACACAGCCCATCAGCTGCACGGCCCTCTGGGAGTTCATAATTTAAGCAGCGTTCATTTCAAACTCTGGACCGGTAGGTCAATTTCGTGAGATGTTTCGTACATTTTTTGGCATACATTTTGCATGCTGTGAGGAAACTGAAAACACCTGAAGAAAACCATCTCTTATAAGAGAATGCAACTCAAAATATATACACGGACAGATCAAGAGTCTACTTGTTGTACTATCGTGACTTAAAGCTTTCGTGACTGCAGGAATTCATATTCTTGGGTCTTTCGGTAAAGTCACGTAGATAGGTTAAAAGAAAATAACAAAATAACAAAAAACTACGACGTTTCGATCGCAACACAAGCAATCGTCATCAGTAGGACAAAGAGTGGGAAAGCTGCTGAGGCAGGCTGTTTTTAAAGGTTTGCAATGGGTGTAGCCCAAGGGTCATAAACGAAGTGGGCGGGGTTAGTGATAACATCACTATCTACGTGACTTTACCGAAAGGCCCAATAATACTTGCTGTACTGTCATATACTGGGCCACAAGGGAAACTTAATCACTATCTGCCAGAATAATTACAGATTACAAACCAAATTATATTGTACTTCTTACATTTGGGCAAATGGAGCAAACACAAACTGTATAAACACGATAGAGAGATACCAAAGACAACGCAAACAAGACATTAAAGACATGACAGGAATGAATTGTTTTTCAATCGAACCGTGCCTCTTGAATTGGCAGAGTTCGTGTGGTGGCTGCAGAGGCGGGGATCGCTTCTGCCCTTAGACTTTAACAATCACTTCTCACCCTACAGAGCGATCTGGTAGTCACCTCCTCACAGGTACGAGCGGGTAGCGGTGACAAGCGAACCGTGGGGCTGTGTCTAAATTGTCCCTGTGGCGAGCACATGTCAGAGTGTGAGCACAGTGCTGCACATTCATTTTTCATTGCAGCCGCCCAGCTCGCTCAGCTCATTGGAACGGCGACGGAGGTGGACAAAATTATGATGACGATGATTAACTGATCCTCCTTCCTATGGTGGAGATGATGATGATGATGATGTTGTTAGGATTGTTGCTACTGCTGACATTTGAATCTCCTGCTATGTACAATGATGATGATGGAGATACAATTGATGCGGAAGCAGGTCTAGCTCCAGCTCCTCACAGATGGGGGTAGCCAGTAGATCCGTTGTGTGGGCCACTGTAACAGCTGGATTATTATTATGCTTGTCTACCCATGAGAGCCTCACTGATTCTTATGCCTCTTTTTTCAGGAAAGTCCTGCCAAGTTTTCTCAGTCGGGGTGATGTTGTTGGGGGCACCACGGTGGAAAGATGTTAACTACCTCACCGGGTATACAGGTCGCAGGTTCGATCCCGACCCTGACGGCTGGATATTTGAAGTTTGCGTGTTCTCCCCGTGGTCGCGTATATTTTTTATCTGGGTCCTCTGGTGTTTCCCTCCACATTTAGAAACATGCGTTTAGAGTATTTGGCTGATAGAAAATTCCAAATCGGCCACTTTGTTGAGCTATCATTTGTGGTCAGGTCGCTTTGAAAAAAGTGCTACAGTATATAACTCAGTGGGCCTTACCTGGGAAAATAAAAATCGTTAATAGTTCAGTTTGCTATGCAGATTAAAATTTAGTAATTTGCAGTGTAACCAAATTTGGCAAATTCAGACCATGACGCTGTCACACGATGGCCTGCTGTTGCAAACGACGATACTGTCACCGAAAGCGGGCTTCATCTAATCAAGGTTTGCTGTGATTTCGGACAAATTGACCGGTCTGAATTCGGGAAAAGATTCGGGGCCTGGGCCTCTCTCCTGAAAACCACAATGGGCTTGAACAGATGTTTGACAAATGGACATTTCTAAGATCATGAATTTGATTGTCAAACAAAAAAAAGCATGACAGGTTTCCACTGAATTGGGAAGAGTCTGTTCAGTAGATTGAGAGTTGAATAATTTCCCAACAACCCTGAATAATTCCCGGGGTCGACTTTTGGCAATATCAATGCTCCTTCACGAGATTGCTTGCTGATAGTTTCCTGATCGGCTTGAGAACAATTCCATCAGCTAGCAGAGATGTTTTGTGCCAATGTCGCTCAGCCGAGCGAACGTGTCTTCTGAAAATAGTCCGATGTTGCGCGAACGATGGTTCAGAGGGCAAACGCTGAGGACGAATCTGCTCTTTGGGAGCCACCGAGTCAAGAGAATTGGTAAGTGATGCACTATATATAGATTTACGAATTCAGCAAAGCTGCCCTATGGAGTCAACAGCCCGCAGTTCCTCCTGCAGAAAAACGGTGTCAGGCTTTCTGGCGTTAAAATTTTATTTTTAGAATTCGAATATTTTAATTTTTAACCCGATGAGTACAGGTTACACCTTTCAATACTAAACTTAAATTAAATTAGAAAATTACGTGACCGATTTACCCGAATGATGTCTAAAATATAAACTGCGATTTGTGCTGAAGATATTATATCCAGTGTATCTGCGGGCTGTATGTCTTGGGCCATTGACAGTTTGATTAAAGTCCAGGCCAAGGATATTGTCACTGAGCTTGGGAGGCTAATTTGTATTTGGGGAAATCAGCCCAGCCATTGAAATCCCCCCCCAATGTTAAAAAGAAATCGGGCTCCAGTAGTAGGGTCGCACTCAGCTCAAGCATTTCATCCAGCCAACCAGAAACCAAGCCCAGGGGTTTCGATAAACAATGGACACATTAAAAGAGTGATTCTTCTATCAGTCCCTCCAGAAAAACGCGATTATGCGATCGCAAGATTCCACGCAAAATCAGCCAAAGTCCGCATATTTATGCGGGGGGCGCGTTTTTTCAAATACGCCGCACTTTCGCCGCATAAATTGCAGATTTCCGCGCGCAAAATATGCGGGCTTGCATGATTTCATAATCCCCGCATTTTCGTTGCAAAAAGTCACATATATCTTAGCAGAAAGTTGAAAAATGTTGCGTTTACTTCACACAAGCGCAGCCATTTCCCCTGTTGCCATGGGAACATTATGAAGTGACGTCACTCATTACGCGACATCATTGAAAAGCTGCATACCCCGCGATGCCAATGAAACCATGATGAAGAGTTTATGCAACTTTACAGTTGTAAGATTGCACTTTTTTGTTAGTAGTATGTAAATTTACATTACTGTAAGACTGTACTGTTACTGTATTGCTTACGTTACGGTGCACTGAAAACACTTATTTTAACAGAAGATGTCTGTTTTGTATAACTACCTCTGTAAAACAGGAAGCACACATTTTATTTTTTAATATTTTATTTATTCATTTTTACAGAAGTTGTAGCATATTCATTTTGTAAAGCTACAGAACTTGTTCGACTCAATGTTTTGTAAGTTTGAGCCATCTGTTTGTTAAGGTCTGAAATAAAACAAGATGAGAACTTAAATATTCCCAGCACTTTCTGTGATGTAGTATGCTTGCTTATCATAGGAAGTGATAAGAAATGACTCTTTACATTAAAGTAGTAGCCTAGTGAATAGGGTGTTGGGGGAATCACTTTTTTTCTCTTTTTCATCAAACCGCAATTTTTGCAAGTTCCCGCAATTTAATCGCATAAAATTGCATAAATATCCCGCATATTCCATCGCATTTTTTAATAAAACGTGCCGCATAATCAACGATTTTTTCCCGCAACAATCACCAAAAAACTCCGCGTTTTTCTGGAGGGACTGTTCTATGGATGTATAAGAAACGAAGCTTCAAGTTGCAATGCAGGTGGTCCTGAAAAATCGGAGCTATGCCAACGTGTGTTGAGGCTCTGTTCACATGGTACATTTTACAGCCACGGGGGATGTAAATGAACTACACGTTTATATATTTACACAATATAACCCAAAAAAATCTCTATTATGGATAAATTAACTATGTCAGGTCTCGGTCAGGCAGGCAAACTGGGGTTTCAACACCTCAATTTCGTCTGATATACAAATAACTTCCCTGGGTGTATATGTCTAACATTCATGAGAAAAGCATGAATGTCCGGATTGGGCTGCGATTTGTTCGAAGCGGAAATATGTTGAAGACGAAGAGCATCGCCGCCGTCTGGATGAAACGTGTTCAAAGAGTTCGCCACTAAAGGACCACCTGGGAGTAACAACGGCATCGAAAACCACCGCATGCATCTTGGCGAATACACGCAAACCGCCGCACTAAACAGGGCGGCCACCGGAATTCCAAACCGCAGACCTCTGCAACAAGCGGCGAACGGAACCACCCACTGGGCCACAGCGTCATCGGGCGGGGAGTGGAATGTTGAGGCTGCGGTGGTGCGGGCGGCGGGGCTGAGGGTCACGAAGGGACATTTGACGGCGCAACGCCCACCCCCAGCGTCCCGGCGAGCGCCGCCCGCGGTGCGGAAAGAGGCAGGCGGCGTCGCCCCGGTGTGACCTGCTCGCGGTCACCTGGCTCTCACCTCGATCAGCAGGCGCACCACCTCGGTCTTGCCGTAGAGGGCGGCCTCGTGAAGCGCCGTGCCCACCCGAGTCTGCCGGTTCACGTCCACGCCCGCCAGGATCAGCATCCTGCGTGCGGTGAACACGCGCGCGCAAACCCGCACGACCACGCAATGATTCCCCCGTGGTGGCCTGTCCAATAACAAGTTGATATCCAGTGAGGAATACGAGGTGTGGAATCACAAGCGATCGCCTACTGCATGACGAGCAAGTATCTCGACGATGGACTCGTAGGCACAATCTAAACAGCTCTCGATGATTGCACAGAATACAACACACAAAGACAAAGACCCCCCCCCCCCCCCATAGCCCGAACAAACTGTTGAGGCAAACGCTGTTAGCGAGTAGCAGCGTCTACGAAGGCTGGCGCGGCACACGAGGGGTGAGCGTTCAATTACATAGAAAGTTAGATATTTTCACCAAAAAAACATACTTGACAATATTTAAACAATGAATATTAAGACATAAAGATACTAAGAACGGTATAAACACATATTAAAAGAAACATGGTTAATCAATGCATCAATTAATATTCACTGTACCTACAACAGCCCGTCGGTAACAGGGGAATGGTCGGTAAGCGAACCCATTGGGCTCTATGGAGGGCCGTCGTTTAGCAATTAGTCGTTAACATGGGTGTTCATTAAGAGGTGTTCTACTCTACACTACTATACACGACACTTCTATATACACTACTATACACTACACTATACACTTCAAATTGGGCTCTATGGAGGCCCGTCAGTTAAGTGGTTAGCCCTTAACAGGGGTGGTCATTAAAAGGGGTTCTACTGTATTTTATCGTCCCCCGAAGGGATGATGGCCTGCGGCAGCCCCAACCACGATTTGAACTCGCAACCTTCAGACCATGCGATCGACTACCAATCCGCCAGTACGTTGGTATTCATCGAGTGTCTCGTAAGCACACGCAGGTAAAAACAATATGTATATAAACTTTTATTCGAGTGTGGCAAGCACACATTTGGGATGTTTGTCAAATTCTTTTGAGTGTTTTTACATGACCTGGAAGGAAGCTGGAGCGTCTGCGGAACATTTACAAGCGGCTGGGAAAAAAGCTGACAGGCCACGCAAAACAAGTCATTAACCTACTTAATGCACTGCCTGCCTCTATGTCACCTTGTTTCCCAGTAGGTAGGTGACTCACGCACTCCCAATTGTCAGCGTAACAATGTAAATACATGCTGCAATTGCAGGCGATGATTAAACAATTCAAAATATATATTTCTTATTGTCATATTTTTACCATCTATCTTGTACCATTCTCGGTTGTATAGTTGTATTCACTATAATAACCTCAAGCAAAACTTTTTTGCATAAGTAAAAAAATATATGGATTCTTAAACGTGTGGTGCCATGCAAGCCCTTCAATATTCGCATATAACCCTCCGGAAACAGATAAGCCCATGTTTCGTTAGAGTCCCTAACCATCCACGCATGGTCCACCAACCCCACCTCGGACCGCAGCAACATAATCACAATGGGACACTCCTTACCAAGGTCGCGAGTTTCCGTGTCGCTCGCGCTCGCGCCACGGCGTTCCGCAAGCGCCACGGTGTTCCGCAAGCGCGGCGATTGGAACGGCGAGCCAAGGGGTTAAACCGTGGAAACGACCATCGTGTGAGCCCTGCTTAGGCGAGGCACGCTTTGAACCCGGGGACCCTGGCAGGTGCTGGCATATCGAAATAAAAAAAAAACCCAAACTTCCACAGCAGAAGATTAACTCGCTGGGCCTGAGAAAGCTAAGCTGGCGTGGGATCTGGAAGTGACAGCACTCGCAGCCTGCGGCGCTGTCATCTAGACAATGTAAGTGTCCGCACACCTCGTGCCTCATCCCGGGAGCCAGCCTTCACAAGTTTCCGAGACCTCGATGTCTTGCTATTCTGAGCAGACGTATAAACTCGCAAAATGTGAAGAGACGTCGTGAACGTACATCCCTTGGTCCCCCGGCGCTCCCACTCCCGCCCCCACGGCAAATTGGTGGGAAGTGAAAAGTAAACAAATCAATAATCAAAGCGCGCATGTCGCACAGTGTCCTGACCGCACCTGATGTTGGCACCTGGTCTGGAGTGATTGGAAGGCAGATCAGCTCAATAACAACGGTAGGAGGTTGCTAGATTTTTGTGCAGCCCATGGGCTTGTAATTACCAACATGCTGCTCCGGCATCGGCGCATCCACACAACATCATGGATGCATGTCGGGTCCAAGCAAGAACATCTGCTGGACTACATAGTGACGGAACAGTGGATGCGAAGTCCATGTCCTTGACACCAGGCCCTACTGTTGCACACTCGAAATGAAGGACGTGGGCAGGTGCTCCAAATCGAGGGCAAGCACATTTATTTATTGTGGTTAATCTTGGGAAGAACAGCACTGCCACTCTGTAAAATTCAACAACACGTGTGTTACAACCAGCCTTGCTCCCGAGCCGCCATTAACCATGTGACTGGTTTACCCGTGCGGTTATTCATTAACCCTTTCTCTTAAACCCAATTCTACTACTGATAAACCATCTTTGTCTTTGACAATCACATTTGCACATCACTATTCGACTATTACTTTAATCCTAAGCTGTATGTCTATCTATACCATCCATTTATCTCGGTATATTACACCCATTATATGTACTGTATGTGTACAGTATACGTACTGTATCTCACCATTGTACAGCTTACTACTTTATATGTGTTCTATTCTCAATAGCATTGCAAGTAGTTATACTCTGGGTATATGGGCAATGGTTATAGATTAAACAGTATTAGAGTTAGAGAATTACAATGACAGTAACTAATTACAGTGCGTCATCTCTTTACAATGCACAGTGCTAAAACGCCTCTAATTGCATATATCACAAACGAACAATTCAAAGCCAAGCTTAAAGTCTAGAACAAGTCTAGAACATTTATATAACGATCAAAAACAACCTTTGGGTCCTTTACCTGTAAAATGCAACAACACGTGTGTTACAACCAGCCTTGCTCCCGAGCCGCCATTAACCATGTGACTGGTATATCCGCGTGGTCATTCAATAACCCTGCCAGCCACCTACAGGCCCGGCTCAGTCATCACATGCTGCTGTACACACATGCATTGATGCACTGCACAGCACATCAGGACTTTCACAGAACCACACTTTACTCCCTTGCTGCACAAGGACATACTTAATAGAGTGATCCATTCCTAATGTGCCACACTACCGTGGATCTGATCTGCCCACTAACCATCGACTTGTCATCTGTAAGATGCGCCTGGCATTCTTCCACTCTTGTGGTGGGTGTACACCCAGGACCGACTCCATTCCAACCCATAGTGGCATGGTCTCAGCTAGCTGATGAAATGTGCAAGTGAGAATTTCATCATCGCTTGTGGCTGGGGTTGGCATTGTCCCCGACTCCTCCTGATGTCGAGGAGAAATGGGCAAGGTTTAGGACCGTGGCTCATGCAGCTGCAGTGGCTGCTTTGGGAACACGGTCCAGACCTCCCCAGAGCCCTGGCTGACAGAGGAGGTGTTCAGGCTGGCTGAGAAAAAGCGACAGGCCCACTCTTATCGGCGACAGCATCCCACGTCGGAAAATTAGGAGGCCTACCGCATCCTTTGCTGGGAGGTTCAGAAAGCTGTGAGGCGTTGCAAGGATGGCTGGAGGTCGCGAATTGCTGAGGAGATGGCGTCTGCCTCAATGGCCCACGATCACAAATCGCTCTTTAATTCCATCAAAAAAGTAACCTGCAGCGCCACACCTATTACCATCATTAGGGAAAGAACGGTGATCCAATCTCCGACCCCCAGGAACAGGTTTGCAGATTTGATGAGCATTTCTGAGGTCCTGGGGGAGGGGAAATCCCTCAGCCTGGAAAACAACAAAGTGGGGATGACCCTACCGAGGCTGTGGTGCCTCAAATACTGGAAGAAGAAGTCACCCTCTGTGAGGGGCTGGCTGAGGTGCCATCTGTTGAGGAAGTACTGAAGGCGATCCGGAGTCTGAGACCAGGAAAGGCACCGGACAGAGATGATCTCCCAAGCAAAATGCTGAGGAAGGGTGGCATTTGTGCACAGACTGCCCTACATGACATCATAACAAAAGTCTGGACCACTGGACGGATTCCGCAGGATTGGAAGGATGCCTTGGTGGTCCCCCTCTTTAAGAAGGTCCCCTCTTTCAGAAGGGGGACCGCACAGACTGTAACAACTACAGGGGAATCTCACTCCTCAGTATGCCGGGAAAGGTCCTGGCAAGGATTATTCAACCTCGCCTTGCTAGGCACGCTGAGGAGAGGCTTGCGGAGCCCCAATGTGGTTTTAGGAAACGGTGGTCCTGCACAGGTGCCATATTTATGTCTGTCCGCTTCAGCAGAGGGGTAGGAAATTCCAACAAGACCTACATCTCTGCTTTTTTGACCTGGTCAAGGCCGATGGTACCATCAGTAGGCCTGGGCTCTGGGTTGTTTTTCGTGCTTTCGGAGTCCCTGACACTCTGCTCACGATCATTAAGGACCTTCATGATGGTGAGCGGGCCCGGATAAAACTACGTGGCTGGGAGTCGGAGCCATTCCCTGTACACCTTGGCGTGCGACAGGGATGTCCTCTGGCTCCCACATTATTTAACATCTATTTCGACCACGTAGTTTGTGAAGCCTTCAATAGCTGTACCGGAGGAATTTCCACTTGGTAAAGATACAATGGGAGGCTGATCGATGCCCGGGTGCGGTCAAGGGATGGCTCCCTATTGCTCAACCATGTTATGTATGCTGATGATCTGGTAATTGCTGCTCACACAGAGGAGGAGTTGGAGGCGCTGCTGCTGAACCTGGAGCTTGCCACTAAGAGGTGGGGCCTTACCATCAGCCCCACCAAAACTAAGCACTTGCCTGGGTATTTTTTACCATCGGACAATCCACCCACACATGACCAATTGGTGATAGGGCAGTTGTGGAGAGAGTGGAGAGTTTCCCATACCTGGGCAGTGTGCTCATGATCGGCTCCGGTTTAACAGCAGAGGTCTCACTCCGAATCAGTTGAGCGGCATTATAATTTCATCGGTTGCGTAACGCT